GTTATGCCTCTGCCTAAACTCTGAGAGTCTTACATGAGGAAACAATATTCTTTCAATCTCTTGCCCCCAAACTCAACACAAGAGCTATTTTTTTAGGAAACAAAACTGTTTTCTTTTTCTTTCTCCTGTGTATTTAAAAACCTTAGGTGTTAGTTTCCACCCCAAATTTTAAAGTCACAAAAATGTGTGTCCCAGAAACAGATAATTATAATGTTTCACATTTTATTTTTTTTTTTAACTCTTGGCTATGGTTCATTGTTTTAAAATATATTAATTGTATCCCATGGCAACCATTAAGAAAAATACACTTAAAAAATTTTTTTTCATCCCATCTGTGTTTCAGCATTTGTTAAAATGGCAGGATTCCAGTAGGACTCTCATAGTCCTATAGGTCTTCTTGTGCTTTAATGTCACTCAAAACTCCTTGGCCTATTTTTTCACCATATGGAATTCACGCCACATTCTTCTGATATCACTGGAATGTGTAATTGAGATATATTTTCTCTGTTGCCAATATTCTAATGTGAACTCATTCTGAAGTCAGGCAGAAGCTGGTCTTTTCCGCCTGGTGCCTCATAAACCACCCATATCAAAACTGAACCAACTAATTAGGGCCATAATTTATGTATGGCCAACTAAAGAGTTTTTAATGGCTCATAACATATTTGTCAGCTCTAAGAACAATTCAGTGAAAACCAGATGGCCCATAGTATTCTCCTTTTGTTGGCACGATGTGCCTAATTTCTATAGTACAGTCAAGATTAGCTCCTCTTGGTATTATAAATTTTTTAAATTGTAATTTTATTCATTTTCATATCATTTTCAACATTACAACATAAACCATAAAGTAGGAGCCAAGTAGTCAGATAAAGTGATTCTCCTCCTTGTCAATATGTCACTAGAGAGACTTTTTGAAAGAAAGGTGATCAACCTTTATTTATTTTGGGTGTGATAATGTAGGGGAAAAATCATTAACTTAATAAAAATAACTAAAAAACATGAATATTCAACATATAGAAGAAGCACTATAAATCACTAGTAGTTGTGTAAAAATAGTCAACTTTTCCAATATTCAAAGCTATTTTATCCATGAAAATTGAGAGAATACACTAAATGCTATTTTGCTGTGCTTTTTCTAGGTCACTAACAATCTATTACCAAAAGGGTACACTTGTTCTCTGTCCCATTTTTTGCACATTTGCATCACATTTGGTGTCACTTTATTGTTTGTGTTCATTAAAAGGAAACATTGTATGCAGGAAATGCCCGTCCCTGTTTGGCTTTAATAATAGCTATCATTTGCTGAAAATTTCCTACATGACAGACACTGTCCTTAGTGTTTGTACAAACATTATTTTATATCATCCTTATAACAATTTTAGTGTTTTACATATAAGAAAAATAAAGCTTTTTAATTAAGCTTAATTAGGCTTATGAAGAAGGCAGGATGATGGCTGCTGCCTGGGGGATAGGGAGGCAGGGGCATCCTGTTCTTCAGGTCAAGCCCTGGTCAGTCTCCCAGGCTGAGATGCGGACCTGAGCTCAGAACCGGGTGTCAGGGAATGTCTCAGGTGTTGGATGATCGGGCCCCTGGGAGAAGCCATGCGGAGGGTGGACATGGTCCTTTGAATTGCTAGGGGAGCAAGAGCCCTCCAAGGCAGGAGGTCTGTTTTCTAAGGCCAGATCTAAGCAGTGTTGGGCTTCCCAGGGACACTAGTGGTAAAGAACCTGCCTCCCAATGGAGGAGATATAAGAGAGGCAGGTTTGATCCCTGGGTCAGGAAGATCCTCTGGAGGAGGTCATGGCAACCCTCTCCAGTGTTCTTGCCTGGGGAACCCCACGGACAGAGGAGCATGGTGTCCTGCTCCTTTGTAGGGTCACAAAGAGTCAGACACAACTGAAGTGACTTAGCATGCAACATACTCAGGCTTATGAAGAAAAATAAAATTATCTGAGATTTTTTTCAGAAATATATGGTTGAAATGGTGAAACTTGGATTTTAAACTCTATTATTATGTCTGCCTTCAAAGCACCTACAGGAAGTCCTGCACATATGAACTTTCGAGTTGCAGATTTTCAAAGATGTGAACCTGTGTGCACATGTCCAGCCATGAGAGTTAGTTCACATGTTTGGTGCATGTTGTTATGTGTATGCATCCTCTAAAAGTGGTTTCATTCAGTTTGCTGAGTCAAGTGACCTATTGTCTCTACCAGAAACAAATGGACAGACTGAGAAAGAGGAGGGCAGTGGCCTTTTGTGTACTTTCCTGTGGAGACTAGTTGCTGTGAAATAAGAGGAGCTTACTAATGAAGGTCTGATGGAATTGGGGGCCTAGAGAAGGGACCAAGAGAGACTAGAGGAATAAGAAGTAACTGAAGAATCAAAGAGATTCACGATGCAGGAAATGACAGGGGATTTTCTTTACTCGAGGAGGACTGTTAGTTTTTGAGGCACAGGACCTGGTAGAATGATACACAAAGGTTGCAGTAGCCATTCAGAGCGCAGTCAGTGCTACTGTATGAAAAAATTGTAAAAAAGAGTTACTACCCAGACATCACTGGGTCACTTTTTCCCAAGAGTGTAGATAGAATAGAATCCAGCAGGAAACCAGAATCTGCACCATCAAAGTCAGGCATAAATGAAATTAGAGCTTGCCCTCTGTTTCCTGTTACTGACCCTCCTTCAGCTTCCCATCTTCCACTTCCTCCACCTCCTGCAGGCAGTAAGTCTTCTTGACTGTTCACTCAATGCCATCCTTGTATGCCAGCTGTTTACTATACTACAGTACTTTTCAAGGTACTGTACTGTACATTTGAAAGTGTTTTATTTTTTGTGTTTGTTTTCTATGTATTATTTGTGTGAAAAGTATTATAAACCTACTACAGCATAGTACTATATAGCCCATTGCATTAGCTGGGTACCTAGGCTAACTTTGTTGGACTTGTGAACAAATTAAACTTAGGAAAATACTCTTGGAATAGAATTCATTCATATGTAGGGGACTTACTGTACTCTTGATAACAAACTAAGCTCCCTTCTTATTTGATGTGAAATTAATCATTCAGTTTGCTGAGTCAAGTGACCTATTGTCTCTACCAGAAACAAATGGACAGACTGAGAAAGGAGGGCAGTGGCCTCAAGGGAAGCCCTGTTAGGGATAGAGTAGGGTAACCAGTCAGTTTAGAAATACCACTAGGGGATTAAAAACAGAAAGGGAATTTTAAGGGCATTCAGGAAGCTGTTAGAAGCTAATGATCACTCAAGAAAAGAATCTAGTAACCAAGCAACAATCTACAGTACCTTGAAGATAGACCAGATGCCTCCAAGTGCTAGACACACTCAAGTCACAGACTCTGACAATTACAACATCATACAATAGATATAGGGTTTGAATCTTGTTACAGGAAGTCAGAGAGTTAATAATCTTTGAAGAGTATAATTTCTGTATGTAACTAAGACAGAAATATAGGTGAAAGGGGAAATAAACTAGGCGAAAGGGGGCATTATACTGAAACCTGAGATTGGAAGGACTGATGCTGAAGCTGAAACTCCAATACTTTGGTCACCTCATTCGAAGAGTTGACTCGTCAGAAAAGACCCTAATGCTGGGAGGGATTGGGGGCAGGAGGAGAAGGGAACGACAGAGGATGAGATGGCTGGATGGCATCACCATCTCGATGGACATGAGTTTGAGTAAATTCTGGGAGTTGGTGATGGATAGGGAGGCCTGGCATGCTGCGTTTCATTCATATGAATAAATCAAAGAGTTGGACATGACTGAGCAACTGAACTGAGATAAATTACCATAGTTTAGCATATGTTAGGCTTCACAGGTGGCTCAGACAGTAAATAATCTTCCTGCAAAGTGGTAGACCCAGCTCCTTTTGCTAATACACAGATGATTTAAATAGTGCCATGACAGTCCTGGTTAAACCATATAGGGCCAAAGGAGGAACTAGTGATGTAAGCTTTGATGTCTGCCCGAGAGTGGGGAAGAAGGTGGTCTTCTCTCCACCCCACTTTTTCTTTGATTAGACACGTGTACCCCAATGTTCATCACAGCACTGTTTACAATAGCTAGGGCATGGAAGCAACCTAGATGTCCAGCAGCAGACAAATGGATAAGAAAGCTGTGGTACATATACACAATGGAATATTACTCAGCTATTAAAAAGAACATATTTGAATCAGTTCTAATGAGGTGGATGAAACTGGAGTCTATTATAGAGAGTGAAGTAAGTCAGAAACAAAAACACCAATACAGTATGTTAACGCATATATATGGAATTTAGAAAGATGGTAAAGATGACAGTATATGCAAGAAAGGAAAAGAGACACAGATGTATAGAACAGAGTTTAGGACTCTGTGGGAGAAGGTGAGGGTGGGATGAGTTGAGAGAATAGTATTGAAACATGCATATTATCATATGTGAAACAGATCGCCAGTCCAGGTTTGAAGCATGAGACAGGGTGCTCAGGGCTGGTGCACTGGGATGGCCCTGAGGGGTGGGATGGGGAAGGGGGTGGGACGGGGGTTCAGGATGGGGAACACATGTAAACCCATGGCTGATTCATGTGAATGTATGGCAAAAACCACTACAGTATTGCAATTAGCCTCCAATTAAAATAAATTAATTAATTTAAAAAAAGTGTACCCCTCTCTTTTCGCAGAACAACTGTTCTCCCTTGCCAGCTTGCTTGAACCTCTCACAAACTTCCTATGCTAATAAACTCACTCTTGGCCTTTCACTTTTACTCACACTGAATTCTGAGACAAGAAAAAGAACCTGAGCTTCAGTTGATTAAAACCAGCCACCTGTTGGGAGAGACCAAAATAACCAAGATGGCGTGTTCAGGTTCTCTCACCCCACGCTCTGTCAAGAACGATTATCTAACAGCTGAGGGCACTTAGAGCACCGCGCATGCATGTCACGAGGCACTTGCTCGATCACGGGACACTTCGTGCGGTCCGTGTGAACTCCACCAAAACAAGTGCGGCATGACTGCGGCCTCCGGCTGTGTCCGTTGAGTCAGCCCTGAGGGAAGAGAATACGCCTGCCTACTTCCAGGGCTGCGTCATCAGCCAGGAGCGAGCCCGTCATGGCCGCTGTGTCAGCCAGGAGGGACGGTGTGTGCGGCTGTGCTGCGTTCTGTCCGCTGCTCCGGCTGCTGTGCCAGCCGGAGGAGGATAAACGTGTCTGCAGTTCCCAGGCTTCTCACTTCTTCCTCCATCCTCTCAGCTCGGCCTCGCCTGCGCTGGGTTCAGCAGTGCGGGCCGTTTGAACGGCAAGGCAATCCGCGCTATGAACAGGATGAAGAGAAATACATCACCTGACACTAGGTGGGTTGTTTTGATCAAAAGACAGAGGATTTGAGTCAGGGATCAAGTCAAGTCAGGGGTCAAGAGTTCAAGTCCCAGTGTGAGGTGCGAGTCCCACCCCTGAGAAGGAGTGTTGTTTCAAGTGAGGCTAAATTAGACCTGCCCAGTGGCTGTGTTTAGACCCCTGGGTTGGACTGTTTTGATTGGGGTAACTGTTGACAGTTTTTCCTCAAGAATTACTCTTTTAATTGCCTTTATTTTCCTAACTAGAATCTGATTACTTTGCACACACCTTACTCCTTATGGTTGCCATGTAAAACGTCCTTTCATATAGGTAGAATTCTAAATTATATAACATCTATGGAATAAGCTTTGTTTGTTTGAGTGGTTCCACAGTGTTCCCTGGGAAATTGATCAACGTAGTCATTCACTTTGAAAAAAAACAACAAAACATTTCTTAAGCCACAGGTCTACGTTGGATACTTTTTTTAGGAACAGGTAGAAAGATAATCATCTTCTTTAGGAACTCAGAGGATAGCTGGAAAGTCAACCACACAGGCAATTAACTAGGAAGAATAAATTTTAAAAGGTTATACATTTGAAACAAGTGCTAAGAGAAACTCGGAATAAACAATGCTTTTAGACTAGGGCTTCCCAGGTGGCGCTAGTGGTAAAGAGCTTTCCTGCCAATGCAGGAGACATAAGAAATGCTGATTTGATCTTTGGGTCAGGAAGATCCCTCGGAGGAGGACTCAGCAACCCACTCCAGTATTCTTGCCTGGAGAATTCCGTGGACAGAGGAGCCTGGAGGGCTATAATCCATAGGGTCACAAAGGGTCAGACATGACTGAAACTTAGCAAGAGCGAAGAAGAAACTTAGGAATTTACAGGCTTTGAAACTAGAGAGATCTAGGTTTTCGCCAAACCCTGACACAGCTACTGATATGCTATGAACTTGGGAAACTTATTTAATATCTCTTTTCTTCCTCTGTTTAAGGAAGTTGATACATATTTTAGAAGAATGTTATGAGAATTAGAAATATTTACTATAAGGCCTTTGCTGAAAAAGGTTCATATAGTCAAAGCTATGGTTTTTCCAGTAGTCATATTTGGATGTGACAGTTGGGCCATAAAGAAAGCTGAGCACTGAAGAATTGTTGCTTTTGAACTGTGGTGCTAGAGAAGACTCTTGGGAGTCCCTTGGACTTTAAGGATATCAGCCCAGTCAATCCTAAAGGAAATCAACCCTGAATATTCATTGGAAGGACTGATGCTGAAGCTGTAGCTTCAATACTTTGGCCACCTGAAGTGAAGAACTGACTCATTAGAAAAGACCTTGATGCTGGGAAATATAGAATGCAGGAGGAGAAGGGGATGACAGAGGATGAGATGGTTGGATGGCATCACTGACTCCTTGGACATGAGTTTGAGCAATCTCCAGGAGTTGGTGATGGACAGGGAAGCCTGGCATGCTGCAGTCAGACATGACTGAGCAGCTGAATTGAACTGAACTGAACTGATGCAGCACTCAGCAAGGCATTATCAGAGACATAGCTACCTTAGATGCATAGAATTATTTTTCTCATTCCATTAAAGTTAAACTTATCCATGTGGCTTTCTATAGGCAGTGGAATATTGCGGGTATGATACATATCATTTCTGAGTGAAAGTTTAAAATTTTCTGTGCTGTTCTTTTTAATGGTGTGATGAAACCTGTGTTGTAATGGAAGTTCTGTAAAATCGAAGAAACCTGGAATGTTAAGTCAATACGTAGAAAAAAGCGCACACTTTTGGTGGGTTTTATGTCAGTGAAAAAATGAAATTTTGTTGTTTAGTTTTTTGGGTCTTTGGTGACTAGCGTATTCTGGCCATTTTGACTAATGCAATAATAGATACTTAAAAAATTGTATTTATTATTATTAGAGATGCAGGAGAGGAGGGACAGCAGGAGAAATGAGAACTTGGATTCATACAAAAATTGAATCAAATTAAAAGGAGGCAATTATAGGAATATTCTTACTCTTTCTCTACAGAAGAATTTGGGAAAAATGCAAGGAAGTATCAGCTTTCTAATATATTAGATATATATTTTAAGTAACTTGGAAAGGTAAAGAAGTGCTATATGCTTGAATATTTGAGAACGTAGTACTTGAAAGGTCACAAGGAATATTTAGGGCAGCACTGTCCAATAGACATAAAACATAAGCCCAAAATGTGGTCTTTTATGGAACTTAAAATTTTTCAGTAGTCACAAAATGAAAAGTAAAAAGAGACAGAAGAAATTAATGATATATTTTACTTAGCTCACTCTATCCAAAAGATTATAATTTTAACATGTGATCAACATAAAATATTAGCAAAATGCCATCCATTCATTTTTTTCATATTAAGTCTTTGAAATATGGTGTATACTCTGTACCTCATGGCAGATATCAATTGGGACTGCTCAACTTTCAAATGCCCCATAGCCACATGTCACTAGTGATTCTCATATTGGATGGTGCAGATTTAGAGTCTGGGTAAGGAGAGATGTCCGGAGAACAGGAAGGACATATAGAAATAAACATAGTCTACAAATTCATCTACACATTCTAGTGAGTGATTTGGAGAAGTGTTCTCTTACTTTTCTGGGCCTTAGTTTCATCACCTATAAAATGAGGATGATACTTAATGAAGTATTTTAAGGATCACATAATATTGTGCACATAAAAATACCTTGTAAGGCATGCCAATTCAACACTGTAAAATAACTATACTCCAATAAAAATCATTCAATAAAAAAAATATATCCAGTAACTTTTAAAATATTTTCCAAAATAGAAAATAGAAGAATAAAATTTAAGAAAAGGAAATGTGTTCTCAATAAATGGACTAGGCATACATTCATCAGATGACCTTATTTAAGCTCTAATGCCACCCCGGTCACTGGTAAGGGAATCCTGGAGGGATTGCCCTGACTTGAGTCAGGTTTCTGTATCAGGCTTTTGCCAGGTAAAACTGAATAAGTAGAGAAGATACCAGACAATTCGATGAGATGATAAAGTGGGCAATACAGTGTGGAGAATGGGTTCATGACACCTTGTTTCCCGATCCATCATTGCCGATGACTTGTGAGACCTTCAGCAGGTCCCTTACACTTTATGCTTACTAATCTGTAAAACTGGACATGACAAATAGCAACTTTACAGGATTGTTCTAAGATCTAAATGAGTTCATATGTGGGAAGGTACTTGATCATCTGTGAAGAGTTACAGAAATTTGAGAAAGTATTAAGCACTTTCTTATAGAGATTTTGTTTGTTGGTATTGTCACTTATTCACAGTCCAGTCAAACATAAAATCTCATCCTCCTGAGATGAGGATTTTCTTCCATCCTATGATTGGTCACATGTGCTCTTTTGGGGGCTTATTTTCTCTCTCTGGCAAAATACAAAGTTGCTTGGGAAAATAATTAATTAAAAAAATCACTTGGATCCGACTTACAATCTTTTTTGGGCTCTGGGGAGGGAATTGGTTATGTAAAAAGACTTCTTAGATTTTCTCTTTTTGCAAGATTGAGTCAATTTTTTTTTGACCCCTCCAAAACAACTACATACTTCTCCTTTGAAGACTCATTCTGTAAGTGAAATGAAGTTCACCAAGGCTCCCTTCCCTTCCTTTGCCTGCCGTGCACCTACAGTCACTCTCAGCTCAAGTCAGAACCAGCACCCAGCCAAAACTTCTTTAAAGAAATTTGCTGAAAAACTTTAAAAGTTGTCCTCAGTGCTCAATTCTCAACTTGCCTTTTATCAAAATGTAATAAATAAGGCTGGCAATTTTGATGACAACCCAAAAACTCTGGAGGAAAAAAAAAACACCACCACATTTTTCAGGCTAGGTAACTCCCTTCATCCTTCATCCTGAAAGCAAACCTTTTTCTTTCTTCTCTAATTAAATAGTTAGGATAGTGGTGATTATTCAACCGAAAGACACGAAGACCTGTCAAACTCTCCCTCCCTCCCTTCCCTTCTGGGCAGATTGTTGTGATTCCCGAGAAACTGTCAGGAGCAGATGTTGGCTGGGCTTGGGGGTGGAGGCAGTTCTTCCAGTCTCCTTAGGGAGCCCTGTTTCTTAAGTGCTTCCACTTTTCATCAGCTCCTTTGGGTCAAGATTTGAGCTGCGTTATTGCTGAATCCAAAGGAGGGCTGCGTTATTTCACTTGCCAACAGGAAGGGCAAGACTAGCTCTTCTGCGCTATCATCGGACGAATGGAAGCAATGCTAGATGAGACTTTACCTCTTTTCTCTGGATCATAAAACAAAGTGAAAATTGGTCGCTCAGTTCTGTCAGAGTCTTTGCAACCCCATGGACTGTAGCCCACCAAGGTTCCTCTGTGCATGGGATTCTCCAGACAGAATACTGGAGTGGGTTGCCATTCCCTTCTCCAGGGGATTCTTCCCGACCCAGGGATCAAACCTGGATCTCCTGCACTGCGGGCAGATTCTTTACCCTTTGAGCCCCCTGGATGACAACAGGGGTCCAAAGCCTGGGTTAAAGATGCATTAGGTCCTGAACATTCTAAGGGGGAGAAGAGAAAGAGACCTCAGAACTAAGCCACACATGCCCCTCAGGCTTTGTTAGGAACCAGATGAACTTGCTTTTCTCATTTTCTGCTCTCAGATCACATAAGAAGAAGTGAAAGAGCAGGAACATGAAGTGTGTGTGAGTAGGTGTCTCATGGATGGATGCATAGATTCTGATTTGATGAATGATGGGAAAAACTTAAGGAGAGTCATTTATAGAGATTGGGGGACACTATAAGAAGGAGGGAAAACAGGCATCACACTGCCTGGATGAACACAGTGTTTCCAGTGGATTTGCACCTCTGCTCTCTGCCCATTTGTAGGCGAGAAGATGAGAATTAGAATGAGGGGAGGGAGCAGGGAGGACCGGTGGAGGAGCAGCCGGTTTGCCTACTGTCTTGATGGCTAGGATGCATGCAGACACCACTGACCTAAAGCATTAGACTAGATGGTCGACAGT